ACTGAGATATTCACTTAAGAGCTGGATCAAGATAAGGTAACAGCCCCACCTTGCACACAAATTCAAACGAAAACAAACTGGCAAACCTCAGTTTGATGCTTTATGTAGGAAACGAATGCGTTTTAGAAAAAAGAACTCTTACAATGTTTGTTAACATTTTTTGCAATAACTGCATGGGCCATCTGCAAACTCAACACACATAACGGTGGGATTTTCTGCTAGAGGGACTCTGGTGCGGACGGTGAGTCACTTTGAAGGAGCTGGGATTCAAACGTCTGGGCATGACGGGGTGCAGCTCAGCACTGAGTAAGGGGCTCGAGTACTTCACATTTCTAAAGTTCTAGAGAAGGCAGGCATCACATCACCCAATGCCTTCACCTCACAGACAGGAGAACCACAGCTCAGAAATCCTGGGACTTGGCTGGTGATAGTGTCCCCAGGATTTGCTGGTGGCTCTCCTCTCATCTCCTGGGCTAAGGAAGTACACACAAATGTAGGTGTCCCCCCAAAACCTGCAAGAATCGGATTCTGTGCTCGCCCAGGAAGCTCAAAGCCACAGCTTTTGAGTGTGTGTGCTACGCCAAGCCTCCATGGTAGCCTCCCAGGCCCTCTGGCACCCAGAGGCATAACCAAAAGGGCAAAGGGAGGAGCTGCATGAGACTGCAACTTGTAGTAGGGGTGGGGGTATTTGTGTGAGTGCCAAAGTCCAAAAAAAAAAAAAAAAAGACTGTCAAATCGATCGATGGACTCAGCACAAAGTTCACACTGGATTTCTGTCTGGGATTGGAGATCATCGGCCCCAACCTCTGGTGTCAACCCTTGCTCCGGGTGCTCTGATCCCTTCCCCCTCCCCTTGCCAATGCCAGCTTGGCAGGGGCAGGAAGTGGGAGCCTGGTGGCCCTGGCATTCCCAGCACCCAGCTCTGGCCGGACAGGCCTCTGGTGACCTCACTTCCACCTAACCAGTTGATCCCCTCGGGCTTCGCCTTCCACCTTAATGCTGAACTGTGCGGTCTCTCTGTCCAGGGAGGATCCTCCTGGCCCCACGGAAACTCCCACCACACACTGCCACCAGGGAGAGCTGGTGCAAGCTGAAACGACCCTAGGAGGCTCAGGCCCTGCCCTCCAGTGTGCATCCGAAGCTTCCCCACTCCTCTCTGGGGACAAGAGGCTGAGCACAACTCCTGTTTTGCCAGCTGCTCCTCCTGCAGCTGATCCAAACTGGGATCCCATGGGCAAACACCAAACATGGGCAAAAAGCAACCAGCCTGCTGGCTGTGTGGGCACCAGAGTGAGTGTGGCAAGGCCAGGGCAAGACCACCAGCTCGCCATGTGCCTCAGGAGCTCTCTCCCCTCCCCTCAGCCATCTTTCCCTTCTTCCAAGGTCTTCCCCCTCCCCTCCGTGATACAGGCGCTTACTTCTCACATTCCTGAGAGTCGTAAATCCTCCTGGGTGGCAGAACCACCACTCAGAGATGCCTTGGCTCCTCCTCCCCCCAGGCACCCCCACACAGCCCTGAGACGGTGGGGCTTTCTCTCCCTTGGAAGTTACACCGGACTCCGGGAGGATGAAGCCCAGCAGGGCTGAAGCTGATGGCACACACCGACGGGCTGCAGGAGGGCCTCCTCGCGCCGGGGCTCCGCACAGAAAGGCTATTCCTCTAGCTTTTGAAGTAGGGGTAGTGGACGAAGCTGGCACCTCTGGGGCGGAGACTCCTTCCTCCTGAGCCCATCTGGGGTGAACGAGGAGAGGGCGCCAGGGAGGGGCAGGATTGGGGGATTACGAGCACACTCACAGACCTGAGGGAAGGGCGACTGGGTGCCCCTGCGCCGCCCTCTCAAAGGCCAGGGAACAAGAGGTGCAGGTGGCAAAGGCGCTCAGGCTCCCAGCACAGCCAGGGAAGGAGAGGAGGTCGCAGGACGCAGCCCCAGGCCTGCCTAGGATCTAGCGGGGCGCCTGGTCGGCGGGCGGAAGCGGTCTCCCTCTCGCAGCTAGAGTTTCAGAAAGACGACGGCGGGCGCGGGGCTGGACGGCCGGGGCGCCTGGGTCCCTCCCGATCCCCCTCCGACCCCATTCCAGCCGGCACCGCCCAGGCCCGGCTTACCTGCTCCGGGTGGCTCTTATTGGCCTCGCTAGGCTCATTTTCGTTGCCAGCCTCCTGCGCCTCGGCGGCGGCCGGCGACTCAACCTGCCCCGGCGCTTCCTGGGAGCGCAGCAGCTCCTCGCGGACCTGGACGCCGAGCTTCTGCAGCTGCTCGTCCGTCTCGGGGTCGACCACCAGCAGGCGCACGGCATTGAGCGCGGCGCGGATGCGGCTCACCACCTGCTGGTGGGTCTCCTTCTCCACGTTCTCGCCGTTCACCTCCACCAGCCGGTCCCCGGCCAGCAGCCCCGCCTTCTCGGCCGGCGAGCCGGGCTCCACCAGCCGGATGTACTGGCCCACCTTGCCCTTCTCGCCGTGCAGGTGGAAGCCGTAGCCGTTCGGACCCTTCTCCAGGCAGCAGAGCCGGGGCAGGGGCGCCCCGGCCGCCGCGTCCGCGCTCATCTCGCCCTGCGACGGCTCAGCTGCGTCACTCGGGGTTCCGTTGGGGACGGGACGGCTCAGTCCTTCTTCCCGCCCAGAGAACTGGGAGCGCGGCAGGTAAGCCCAGCGCTGCGGGACGGGCGAAGCGAGCAGGTGTCCCGGGAACCGCCGGCTGCCGCGAGCCTTGAGGAGAAAAAAGAAGAGCGCGGACCAATCCCCACCCCGCGCGGCGTCTGAGCTTTCCAGAGCCCGCCCAGGCTCCTTACCCCGGGGGCGGGGCCACGCAGAGGGTGTGGAACTCCGCGAGCCAATCGGGGGCCGCGGGCCGGGGCGCTGCGGCCGGGTGAACGGCGCCGGCCAATGGAAACGCGCGGGGCGGGGCCTGTGCTCGGCGCGGAGCCTAGTGGCGGGCGAAGACAGAGCGCTCAGGAAGTGGAAGTGTTTGTTGCCGAGCGGCCGGCGCTGGGGCGGCAGGGGCGGGGCCCGCTCAGTTCTCGGTTCTGGGCGGTGGGGCCCGCCGGCTCCGGCCTAGTTTCCCCTACTAGTGGCGGAGAGTGAGGAGAGGCCCTCGGATAAAGGACCCTAACTTTTTTTTCTTGTTTTTTTTTTTTTTGAGACGGAGTCTTGCTCTGT